ATCCATGTAGCATATCACACTGATATTAAGTTAACTAACGATATATATCATAATATATGAGTCAGTTAATAGGTAGTGTGAGGATTGGAAGGATAGGCAGCTGACAAAAGAAAATGAGGAAAAACAGAGTTAAAAATTCATGAGTAGGGCGATAAATGGGTAAGAAAGCAAGGTGTTTGAATGTTAATGAGTTAGGAAAACAAATTCATTAAACCGTTAATCCATGAGCAAGAAGGAACTCACAATGATACAGAAGATTTGAGTTCCCAGGGATTGATAGTTGTTGAGCAGCATCTACAGACTTCACAATTAATCTGGATACTAGAAACCAAAAACTGTTCAATATTTGGAGAACATTCCGGAAGCTTCTCAAGTTAAAGAACATTTTGTTTGCTTTCGGCTCTTTAGATTGATGAGACGACTAATCAGTAACACTGAGGTTGCTCTTATACGCTTGCTACTTCTGTGGTTCATGTTTCCAAAACTATGCTGAGGTCGCTATTCTGTCGAGACACCTGCAACATTCTTACTCAGGCGCTTACAGTATGACTTAGAGGTTGGCATTCAATAATAAAGAAAAAAAAACAGTTAGACAGTGCGAGATTTTATTCGTCAAATATTTATTTTTACAAACTCTACTCTTTTAACTAGAATTTCGATTTCAACGTACATAAATCCAGCTTCTTACTTCGACTTCTCTTCTATCCACCTGACACTGCACAACTCTCCCTTCTTTTTGCTGTACTCCTTTATCTGTGTGTTATATTCTTATATTCCCATAATTTACTTTAATTTAAGTGGTCAGTATGAATGTTATCTTGACTTACTACTGTATTGACTACTTTAACATGACAGGTTAAGTAGTGCTTTGGTTATATATATACACTTGCCACACTGCTGCCTTTTCCTCTCTCTCTTCTCCTTTTCAGAACCCCATTCACGGTGGGAAATCCTTGGCAACTCTAGGGAACATGCACCCAATGTACATGACTGTCTGGATCACAGCTCGTATCAAGCGCGTTCCATATGACCTTTCCCAACAAATTCACTATTGATCTCGGCCAATCGCCAATAGAACCTATTGTGCACCTTCCTCATTTGTACTCTAATATTGAAAATGTGGCTGTATAATACTGTTTCTGTCAGTGATATGGTGTAAATATGCAATCAGAAACTGTCTCTTATACTTAATTTAACTGCTATAACTTTTACAGTAATCGTGAAAGCATTTGTGACAATTTGATCTAGCCTGTAAACTGGCGTGACTCTTGTAACTTAGTTATTTGAGAATAAATTTTTATTATTATTATTATTATTATTATTATTATTATTATTATTATTAACTGTAAAGATACTTACGTTGTTCTTATTTCACCTTCGCTTCAGCTTCTTAATTTCATTTTACCTGGCTACTTGGAATATAATCTCTTCTCTGTTCAACCGTTTTCTGATTTGGGGGTCTGTAGAGTGGATTGGGGTCCTGGAATACTAAACAAGGGGAATAGCTGGGTTTTACTCAGAGAGAATTGTAACAACAGCGTTACTATTTTATTGAAGCTGATGATTGTGTCACAGATACGGATAGAAATCTGTAATCCATTCAACGATAAACTGTATCATGTCGCAAAGAAATCACAACACAATGGCCGTTTGTATTTTGTCTTAAGTAATGTATAAGCATTGTTTAGAAGTCTGTACACATTTTGAGGAGTGTAAGCTTAGCCTCACTTGTCACTTATTTCTTATTCATAAACACCATTAGCCGTCTAGATTTAGCGACAATAGAAAAGGCGTGTTCTTCACATTTTAAACTTCCGGGGTAATGAATACCCAGATCATGCACTGATATGAGTGCCTGAAGCCTACATTTTTGTAAGTAGAATGGTATATCATGGCGATGCTTACTAAAATGCATGATGCCACACTTGTCGTGGTTATATAGTAGCTGCCATGTTTAGCTCCAGGTAGTTGCTATCAAGATCACTCTGAATGCTGGCTATATTTTCGTCCAGATCTTCAGGCTTATAGCTGTAGACTATTTTCGGATCATTCGCATATAAGTATGCTCTTCCACATCATACTAATACATATATCGTTTATGTACATAAGAAACAATAGTGGATCTAACACAATTCCCAGGATAACTCCACTGGTTATTTGTCTTGGTGATGAATGGGAATCGTTGAATTTTATGATTAGTTGGCATCCATCTAGGAATGAAATAAACCACGAATGTAGACGGTTAAAGATTCCGAATGAATTTAGTTTGGTGAAAAACCCTTTGTGTGGGACATTATCAAAAGCTTCTTGAAGTCGAAGAAGATGACTGATACTAAAAGCCCTTTGTCTTGCTGATGCGTAATATCAGTCAGTTGCAACGTAGAACTTCGTACGTAAGTACATCAGTTCATGTCGCCATACCACATCAGCACAGAGATATAATTGTCAATTCAAATCCAATAGTAATAGAGGTAGTAAAGGTATTAGAAGTAATCGTAGACGTTAGAATTAGAAGATATTATTCACGAAGTGCGATTCAATGAGATAAGTTTAGAAAGTAAAAGCTAGAGGTGTTGAAGAACCCAGAAGATTAGGATTTGAGAGAACACAAAGAATAAATTGCACTGGCGCCATTGCGAACGATTTTGAGCCATATCATTCAAGGTCTCTAACCATCGATGATTATCATCTCGCGGACCCCAACCAGGTAGTTGACAATTGCCGACATGGCTAAGTCCACTTGTCAATGACTTCATGGAATTTCTGCCATGTTT